GGGCGGCTCGGCGGCAGGGCGGCTCGGCGGTCGTAGGCGGCGGGGCCGGTGAGGATAGGCGGCGGGGCCGGTACCGTAGGCGGCGGGGCCGCGAAGTGGGGCGGCGGGGCCGCGTAGGTGAGGGCGGCGGGGCCGCGAAGTAAGGGCGGCGGGGCCGCGACGTGAGGGCGGCGGGGCCGCGAAGGTGAGGGCGGCGGGGCCGCGTAGGCAAGGGCGGCAAGGCCGCGACGTGAGGGCGGCGGGGCCGCGACGTGAGGGCGGCGGGGCCGCGTAGGTGAGGGCGGCGGGGCCGCGTAGGCAAGGGCGGTGGGGCCGCGACGTGAGGGCGGCGGGGCCGCGACTTAAGGGCGGCGGGGCCGCGTAGGTGAGGGCGGCGGGGCCGCGACGTGAGGGCGGCGGGGTCGCGACGTGAGGGCGGCGGGGCCGCGTAGGCAAGGGCGACGGGGCCGCGATGTGAGGGCGGCGGGGCCGCGACGTGAGGGCGGCGGGGCCGCGACTTAAGGGCGGCGGGGCCGCGTAGGTGAGGGCGGCGGGGCCGCGACGTGAGGGCGGCTGGGCCGCGACGTAAGGGCGGCGGGCTCGCGTAGGTAAGGGCGGCGCAACGGGCCGCTAGGGGCGACACGGAGGGTCGCTAAAAAAAAGGAAAGCGCGCCTCGGGGCGCGCTTCGGTGGGCCCTAGAAACAGTCCCTAGGAGGGGACCTGCTCTGATTCCATGTGAAGAGGAGAACGCGAATGGATGAACTATGAATGAAGTGAGTACATATAGGAAACCCTAATTGGGTTGTACCCCCTATGGGATACCCCACTATAGCCTACACAACAGCATAAGCTATATAATGTTCTGACAGGAAGAACCTTCAAGAATGCGCACCCCGGTAGGCCGGTACTTCACAATATAAGGCATATGTTTGGAAGTTTCTTAGATATAGTACATACTTTATTGACGCACAATATATGATATTGGTAATGTTTGTTGCCGAGTCTTAGTCCAGTCGAAAGCATGTACCATATTTACCTTCTTAATAGACTCGGGGAAAGAAGGGATGGGGGGGAGTAGATGGTTTTTTTTTCTTGAAGTTATGTCAAATACTAGTGTTACAACATCAGAGCCACCACTTCGAATTTCACAAAAAAGAGATGTTTATCTTGCGCCGAATCAAGGCAAACATATGGTCAACTGGTGGCGGTGGGGAGTCCGTCTAAAGCGTATTTGGACAAACAAGCTTAACAACGCATGCCTCATATCTTTTGCACTAGTCAATTAATATCTAATCTCCACCACAAGAGCACGCTTTTGGTCTAGTGATTGCGAGACTTATGCAGCGAGGCGATGATGATGAATTTTATAACCGTTAAAAATATTTTTTTATAATATGGGGGTGTAGGTTATCTTGGTAAGCATATATATATATTTCATAAGTGGGAAATATATAACAATGCTTCCATCAAAACCTGATGTTGATATTGATCTACATATTTATGGTATTCATAATACCATGATTAAATTCCTGTGCTAAACTTCTCAAGTTTTATTACGCGCTATACTTGTAATTGTTGATCCCGTTACTGACAATCTTCTTGGGTTCCTAGAGACAGTGAGATGATATAGTTATCGTTCCGGGTCCGGGCAAATTGATTTTGGCGAAGTAGCAGGTGTACAGATTTGAAAGTGCACCGTGGAACTGTTTGTCAAATTTTCCTCCGTGCATTTATTGTGCGTGATGTTTTCCCTCCAGCCAATCTTCCAGAAGGACAAGCTTCATGATCAGAAATAGAGTGCTGTATCTAGGAGTGCTGACCTCAACGCCGCCTTGTTGACGTTCTTGGTCGGCCAGTTCACCAAATGGCTTTGCCAGCTTTTGCTAGCTGTCGCTCTGATGTCTGTACCGTCTGATTACCAGAGTAGCGATGATAGCCAAATTCATCCATTGCATCATTTGTCGGACTTCCGAGCTGGATTTGTTCCTCGCTAATTTCCTTTTCTGAACTTTGCTTCGCTATTTTTTAGCCAGTACACTCGAACCAGTACACTTGTGAACTTGACCACGCTAACCCTCCCGTCCGGTGTGCTTCTCGGCTAAGCCAACGTCATCAAGCTTGGATTCAGGGAGGCCGTCGATCATACACAACAACCGCTTTCATCCGTTAATTCCTGTCAGTGTTTTAAGAAAGTACCAAAATCTCTCTACTGATCACTTTTAGTCTAAACGTTCCCTGGCGAAGGTGGCGAAGCAGGCTGAACGCATTGCATGCTTCAGTCCGTTTGGGAAAAAAACATGGGGTTTCCTTGGTCAATGGTCGGCATCAGTGCGTAGTGTAGTAGGTAGGGTAAAAAGCTTGTGCTATAATGGACTATTCTGGAGCTAGTGCGAGTTTGCTGTTGCGACAGCTGTGTCGTCCCACCCACCCTACCCCCTCCCTCCCCCTCCCACTGCCACACAGCTTGCTTTCACCTGTGCCAGCCAAGTCCTGCCTGACTGGCACTCCGAACGCCTGACCAGCTGCGTGAGTTATCACTCGTGTTTAGTTAGGTCACAGAGAGTCAGGTTAGTTTTTCCGTACTTGGCTGCTTTGCAGAGTGATGTTTGCACGTACCACCGCGTCACAACCTGACATACGTAATCCTCCCCATTAATTTCATGTGGGAGCGTCTTTTCAGCCCTTCCGTATCCGAGTCTAGGACGCATGCTATCTTCTTCTCAAATTTCGGCCAGATCAGTGAACACGCTGTACATTCGGCTGACACTTAAAACTTGGGAATTCGGTCAGGTCAATATAAGACACTGGAAATTCGGTGAAGGGACTGTAACACACTGGAAATTTTACGTGGTCACTGAAACAGAAAATTCAAGTCGCTGAAAGTACTTAGTCATTGAACACATTGAAAGTCCTGGGATACGCTGGAAATGAACAACCCACCCACGATAATGGAAGCCATAGTCTGGTGTCTTTCGAGTTGTTTCGAGGAGGAGCACAGACAAACAAAACACTTGTCAAAGAGGTCCACAGAATCCGGAAAGCCTGAGTGGATCCAGGTGTGGGTGACAGTGAGTCCATCCCCCCATCGCCACAAAATAGGGCAAGCTCACTCTGTTTGGACCGCCACGTCATAGGGCACGGCCACACGGCTCCGTCGCATTTTCGGCATTCTACAGTGCGATCCACGCGTGCAGTACCGCCAGCTTGCACAGCCAAAAATGACAGAATCCACCACCACCGCACAGAGCACCCCACCGTCACCCGTGATCCACCAACCCTCTGTCCCTCGTTCGCAAGCTGGCAAGCCACATCGCTCCAAGGTCAGCCCGCATCACTGGTTCTCCAAGCCGCGTTGCCGAGGCACGCAGGTGTCCGAAGCGTGATTTTGGCTGGTTTGTGTGCCAAACCTCGAGTCTAGGCTGGGATGTATGGTGTTTGATTTGCGAGTGATTTGGTGGGGAGCATAAATACACTGCCATTGGCAATGGATTGTCATTGTTCATTCCGCAGATGCAGTTTGCTGTGCAACACTACCGCAGTGAGCGATCGTGATTTTACAAGCGAGGCAGGCAGAAGGGAGGCAGCCAGAACAAATGAGACCCCCACAGCGCTAGAGAACGATTTGAGCCACTGGCGAGAGGAGCGAGCAGGAACAGATGCTGTATGTGGCCGCGGGCTGGACAGCAAAACTATGATTCATTTTTGATAGTGTCGCTTGCCGCATTCTCACTAACCCACAGACATCACTCTCACGCACCGCGTTTTTACTCTCAGTGCACCGAAACGCTGCGTTTCAGTCAGCTGGTTAGTGCGAGGTTTTTTTCCAATTTTGTGTATATCAACGACATTTGGTTGTTGGAAGGAATACGAGCTGACGCGCGCGATACACTCTGAGACGAGTAGAGATTTGAGGCAATATTATCGACAAATCTGGTATAACAGCGGACGTGGCGCACCTAACGATCACCTATAGTCACAGCATAGTGTTGGAGATAGTATCGTTGAAATCGCGACGATGGCGGAAGCTGAGCAACAACAGCGTCAGCAACATCAACAACAAGAAGATCATAAGGAAGAGAGCGGCGAAAAGGACTCGGACGTCGTGAAGGGGCCATGGAGTCCCGAGGAGGACGAGCTGCTTATGGAGATAATCGCCAAATACGGGCCGCGCAATTGGTCGCTCATTGCTCAGGGGCTCAAAGGGCGCTCCGGCAAGAGCTGTCGACTTCGGTGGTGCAATCAACTGAATCCCGAAGTGCGTATCTCGCCTCGTCTCTCTTTTTATTACCGACGCGGCGTCGCGTATTTCCTCGCATCACCATCGCATCGCGTTTCCAACTTTCCCTCCGCTGCGTCACTGAGATACTCGCACCGATTGCGGTTTAACATGAGTCCCTGCTTTGGTGTTTCCTGCTCAGGTAAATAAAAATCCGTTCACGGACGAAGAGGACAGAATAATCGCACTGGGACACGCGGAGCACGGCAACAAATGGTCCGTCATTGCGAAGAGCCTGCGCGGTCGCACGGACAACGCGATTAAGAACCACTGGAATTCCACGTTGAAGCGGAAATACCCCGCCATTCTCGCGGAAATCATAAAAAATAGGGTAAGCTTTTTCTCAAGATTAGGGTTTCCTTTTCGGAGAAAATTGCACAGTATGCTGTGTGTTCAGGTGTATTGCCCTTTGTTGAAAGTCTCCTCGTCTGATTGGTTGGCGAGTTGGGTTCGTGTTCGAGAAATGATTTACGATAGGATTCTTGTTCGGCTCAAACCTGGTTACCTTGCTTGAAATGTTTTTTTCACCCAGAATCTACCATTGTCAACGCTCAGTGTCTCATCCTCCCACTTTCTCCCCACCATTCCCCCCTGCGTCCTGTCGTCCCGCCATGGTTGCCCCGTTCCCTCCGCCAGACCGCGCGCGTGATCGATTCGCCGCGCGACGCCCCAGCCTGCTCCCCCGGAAGCGACGGTCGTGTTTCCCCTTCCCCCTACTACTCCGGTGTCCCGCTCTACGCTCCAATGTACGCTCCCGGAGGCGCCGGTGGCGCGGGAGGCGGCGCGAACTTTTTCTCGCACCGTGAGAGTCCGTCTCCGCTTTCGTCGGGTAGCGCGGGCTGCGGAAGCGCGGCGCACTCGCGGCGGAGCAGCATGGACGGCTGCTCCGTAAGCTCCGCCAAGGCGGAAAACGTGCGCATGCTAGCGGACGTCCTCCGCCGCCTCGCCACCGCATCCAGCGGCGGCGCCGCCTGCTCCGCGTGCCCATCTCCTCCGCCAGGCGGCGCGGCGGGCGTCGCTCCTCCTTCCGCCTCCGCCGTTTCGGCCGCGCGCCTAGCGTTTCCGCGCAGCGGAAGTCTCGACTCTCCCGTTCTCCGCCAATCTCTGCGCGACCCCACTCCACTCGTTCCTTCCGCCATGGGGGCATGCGGGGGAACGTTCGGCGGCGGATGGGGGGGCGGAGCGCCGGCGGTGGGGGAATACGACCTTGAGTATCTTCAGGCCGCGAAGCGGCTGCGCTTTGGTGGGGGGGACATAGCATGCGCGGAGCTTGGCGGAGCGTCTGGCGGACTGTCTGGCGGAAGCGGCGGGTTGAGGGGAAGCGCAGGGTTGGGCGGAAGTGGATACGGCAGCGCCGCCGCCAACCTGGGGAACTTTGGGGGGTCCCTTCTCGGAAACTCCCTCCTGGGGCGCACGGCAAGCGGAGGAGCTGGGGCACTCGGGGGAAGCTCTTTCGGGGGAGGCGCTTATTGCGGGAGCGGCGAGAACTACCTTTCCGCGGGCGCTCTCTCCCCCCTTGGCGGAGGTACGGCGGGGAATTCGGGTTGCCGCGGTTCCCCCTCCCCCCATGGCGTCATGCGCTTCCCCTCCAGTGTGCGGAGCTCCATGGGCGGAGGGGATTCCCCCTCCTCCCTTGCCGCCATGGCTGCCGCGGCTGCAGCGGGATTCGCGCCGCCCTTCGGTGGGGGAAGTTTCGGGGGGGGGAACTCGAATCCGCCCTTTTCCCCTGCGGGGAACGCTCAGCCTTTCCCCTCACCACACTCCGCCTCCCCCCTGATGCCGCGTTTCCTGACAGGCGATTCTACTGCCCTAGCAGGCGCTCCGGCCTCCGCATCTGCTGCTTCTGCCTCTGCTGCTGCTGCTGCCTCTGCCTCTACCGCCGCTGCTGCTGCTGCTGCAAGAAACTTTCCAGGGCTTGGTAGCTTCACTGGGCTGAACAGCACGGGGCTGGGGACGACCAGCAGTGCGCTCGGTGTGTTCCCGTCCAATCTCCAGTCTCCTTCCGCAGCCTCCTCCTCTCCTCTCCTCCGGGAAACCCTAAAAGAGAGCATACGGGAAAGCCTCCTCTCCAATTCTCACCAGCAGAACAAGCCGGTAATTGGGGCAGGGCCAGCATCAGGAGGAGCAGCAGGAGCAGGAACGGTGGGAGTCGATGGGATGGTGACGCGAGCCGATCGGACGGCCCAGGGCATGTCCCTTCTGGGGCAGCGAAATCTGACCATCGATCTCTCTGTGCTCGACACTCTTGCGGCTCACATGCCTCTGCACCCCTTTCAGCCGCTACAGTCTGCGGAGCCTATGTCCAATCCCGCTGCTGCAGCCGCTGCCACCGCTGCCACTGCTACAGCCGCTACAACCGCCGTTGGTGATTCCTTGATGTTAGGGGAGCTTGGAGGGGAGATTGATCAGGAGATGTTGGATCCGGCGGTGCGCCATGCCTCAGTTGAAGCCCTGGCTCAGATTCTTGCAGGGGATATTCAGGCCATTCCCAATGCTGGTTTCGCTTCAGGTTACAATGGGAATTTCAATGCAGGTTTCAGTGGAGCAGATGCGTTGATGCCTGCAACTGGTGGTGCAGAGGAAGCTGCTAAGGCCTCTGATTTGGAATGCTTGCTGAATGATCAGTTTCAGCAGCCGCTGCTTCAGCTGCAGCAGCTACACCAGTTGCGGCAGCTGCAGTTGTTGCAGCAGCAACAGCAGCAGCAGCAGCAGCAGCAGCAGCAGCAGCAGCAGCAGGAGCAGGAACAGATGCAGCAGGAGGTTTTGGGTGAGGATGAAGGTTCTGGGTCGCTTCTGAGTTTCCTTGCTTCTGATTGGCCGCAGTTGAAAGAGGCTGTGGCAGCAGGAGCTAGAGCCCTCAATGCTGCAGATATGCCCACCTCCAGCAAATAATCTATTTTATTCATTCATTTCTGTTAAAAGGGCTGATGTCCAATATTGGGTGGCTATATTATATAAAAAGGTTCCTGTTATTAGGTCATGTATGGTGTGTTGTAATGCCGTCTTGGGTTTAATTGTCAATACTATATTGTGATACGGCATCACAAGCAAACCTTCCATGCTTCAAACATGTTTGCTACAAAATAACAGATTCTGGGACACTAGAGAAGGGGAAACTACCTTCTGCTACCCTCTCCCAGACTGCTACTGCTCCCCCTTACCTCCCCAAAAACCCTCCGAATGCTCCAGCTCTTCCCCCAGCTTCTTACCCACCTTCAGCTCCTACAACTCACCCACAGCACCGCTCTTCCACTTTCCCCATTCGCTGGAACCAGCTTTCCATTCTCCACTTGCACATCACCTCTCCGCCTCCCTCCTTTTCCCTCCTCCTTTCTGTGTACCCGCCTCATGGCGCTCCCAGAAACATTAATGGCTGTTGCAAGCCCTCTTCTGTTGCTGCTCCTCCTACTACTGCCCCACCTACAGCACCTGTTGCTCCCGCACTGCCCCCCACTCCGCTCTCCCCTCTGGCAGCAGTGACCTTTCGGCCAATCAGAGCGCGTCTCGTCGCCAGCAAGGCATCCAGCTCCTCCTGTAGATCCCCAGAATCCGGCTCTGATGCACCACCTGAGCCACCTGCGTTTTCACCTGAACTTTGGCGCTTCTGCAGGGCAGATACAGACTCGATTCGGGCCCCAATAACCGCCTCTGTCTCAGAAACCTCATCCCCCTTGCGCCTTCTTTCCCCATCATCAGTAGCTGGGGAAACAGCATCGGTAGCAGCAGCAGCAGCAGCGGGAGAACCAGCAGCAGCAGCAGCAGCAGTGCCAACAGTCATATCAGGAGCTAGGTCCTGCAGCAGGCGCAGCACTGCCAGCCGCACATCCCCATCCTGGGACCCCACCACCCCCGGCTGTAGCAGCGAGGTGAGAAGCTCTGAGGAGAGAGCCAGAGGGCGGTCTGAGGGGCACTGCTGCAGGAAGTAGAGCGTGAGATGGAGGGCTTTAAGTAGGAGCTTGGTGCTGCTGCTGGTGGCGATATCGGTGCTGGTGGTGGTGTCATTGGTGGGTTGGGCGGCGGAGGAGATTAAGGAGGTAAGTCCCTTAATGCCGACGACGGCTCGAAGGGACGCCAGGCCTTCTGGGTTATGGCGGACCAAGGCTGGTGTGGGAAGGGAGGAGACAGGGGGATGGAACGACGAGTGGAGGGGAAGCAGGGAGAAGCGCAGGGGGCGTGGGGGAAACGGGGGTGTTGGGAGGGGGGTTGGGGGAAACCGGGGGGCTTGGAATCGCTTTTGAGAACTCTCAGGGGGGGTCTTGGCATGAGGGAATCCAGGGTTTCAAACAGGGAAGGAAAAGGAGGAAGGAATCAGGGGAAACAGGCTCAAGTAACTTGCTCAACCTCACTCTCTCCTTCCCCACACCCTTTTGCTGTATTCCCAACCTCTGTTTCTCACTCCCCCTCCCCCTTACCTCCCCCTCCCCCTTACCTCCCCCCCCCCCCTTTTTCCACCCACACACACGCCCTTTTTACTCACATGAAATCGCCCCAACGGCCTTGGTCCTGGCAGTGACGTCAGCATCGTTCAGAATCATATCCATGAGGGTTAGATGGCCGCCCGCCTCCATGACGCTCCGTTGGCTCTTTTCGTTGTTTTGCACCATGGTGGTTACCACCTCCGCCGCCCTCGCCCGCAGGATGGCATGGGGGGACTTGAGGAAACGCAGCAGCGGCTCCAAGCCTCCTATGGCCTTCAGGTCTGGTGGGTGGAGATAAATGATGAAACGGGGAGAGAAGGCGGCAGGTCAAGGATTAACAAAAAAAAAAAAAAAGGATGATAGTAGTGACACGCTAGCTCCTGCAAGAAGGACGGCAGTAGAAAAAGGGTAAACAAACTAGGATCGTGTAAAGGTGAGCGTTTCTCAGGCAAAGGTGAATGTCAATGGGCAAGCCCTCACCATTGGCCATATCAATAGATTCGACATGCTCCTGAAGCTCCTCCAGCATGCACGCCATCTCATCAACCGTCACGCCCTGCGCCAACAGCCCCGCCTCAGAAGCCACCAGCAGCAAGCTGATCACACATTTACACTTGACCCCCACTCCCTCACAAGTGATACACACACACTCTTACCATTCGCCATGTCGATGGATTCAACGTGTTCCTGAAGCTCCTCAAGCATGCCCGCCATCTCGTCCACCGTGACTCCCTGAGCCAGCAGACCCTCCTCTGTGACGGCCATGACCATGCTGATCTCCTTCATCCGCTGCACTATGTCCACCACTGCAGCCTGCATGGCCTGGTTGAACCACTGCCGCTCCTCGTCGCTGGAGGGAGGGAGAGAAAGGAGGTGGGAGAAGGGAATGTGAGGAAGGGAGGGAGGGATGAAGGGCGGACAAGGGAAACGAGCAAGAGGAGAGCATGGGAAGGCAACACAGCAGTCCCTCCTCAGTGACGGCCATGACCATGCTGATCTCCTTCATCCGCTGCACGATGTCCACCACCGCTGCCTGCATCGCCTGGTTGAACCACTGCCGCTCTTCCTCGCTGGTGGGAGCGGAGAGGGCGGGTGGGAAAAAAAAGAAAGGAAAGACGGGATGAAGGGCGGACAAGGGAGACGAGCACGGGGAGAGAATGAGGGGGGAACAGCCCCCCCGCTAGCTTGAGCCCTGTCAGTCTGCTTGAACCGCACTCACGTGATCTGTCGCGCGGGTCCCGTGCCATCGGAGTGAGCGAGGCTCCACTTGAGAATGCCCTCGAGATTGCTGCCCGGGCCCAGATTAGGCATGTTGCCCGAATGCTGCCCGAATGCTGCCCGAATGCTGCCCGAATGTTGCCCGAATGCTGCCCGAATGCTGCGCGGATGCTGCCCTGATGCTGCGCGAATGCTGCCCCGATGCTGCGCGGATGCTGCCCTGATGCTGCGCGGATGCTGCCCCGATGCTGCGCGGATGCTGTCCAAACCCTTCCCAAACGACGGCGACGCTCTCGAATGCGCGAGGATGCGCGCTGCTATTCAACGCGACGCGAACAATTCGATCGGAGCTGTCTCGTAACGCGCGTGACGAGCGTAGTAAGACTCGATAGCAAACAACGAAGCGACTCGGAACGGAAGCGCGCGTGACGACAGAGTTCGCGGGAGCGCGAGCGCGAAAGCGAGAGCGAGCGCGTTAATCGGGAATTCAACGCGCTTGGGACGTCAAATTGTGTAAGACGTGTGAGCGAGGAAGCGGAAACTCCTCGGGCAAATAATGGGAAGAGGCACGAATACAATCAAAATACTACTGCTCTGCTGGATATGCAAGAGCAGCGCTCGAATCAGTAGGATTCAGCCCCCGGAGACGCGTGTAATGAGGGACTACAAACCGAATCTGCGACGGCTATTAGTTTGGGAGCAGGATAACTCTAGTAACGTGGAGAATGTTCCTGATGTTAGTGGGAGAATGTTCCTGAATGTTCCTGACATTCTCGACAGTCCCACATCGCCTGAAGGAGAAGCTTCGGAAGTTTCGGAACAACAACGTCAATCGTTATGAGCATGTCTAAAACTCCAAAGGTCGAGCGTTCATGCCGGAGTGGTTAACGGGACAGACTCGAAATCTGTTGGGCTCTGCCCGCGCAGGTTCGAATCCTGCTGAACGCGACGTTTTGTCCTTGAAGTGGAGTCTGAACAACGTAGCAAATAAGCCTTTGAAAGTGTATCTATATTTTTTAAGAATGCAATGTATTGAGGTGAGAGTTTGTTTGATATAACTACATTGCTCACAATAAACGTTTATCTATCTCAATTGCATCCACTACGCCAGTGTTCCACTCTTATGCAAGACGTGGTGGCTTGCGTGGTTTGCCCTCCATATGGATGCATGATAAATAGTCTTCGTGCAGCATAACCTTAAAAATGAAACGCACCACATATTTTTACTCAATAACGAAATGTGCGTTCATGCCGGAGTGGTTAACGGGACAGACTCGAAATCTGTTGGGCTCTGCCCGCGCAGGTTCGAATCCTGCTGAACGCGAGTTTTGCCGTTCAGGCTACTCAGCACTGTCAAAATGTGATATCTTCTACCATTTCATCCCTAAGGTACAATATGGAGATATATACAGGTAGTCCTTTGGCAACAATTGAAGAATCCTTTTGCATCTCTGGTAACAACTCCCAGAACAAGGTGCCATCAAGCAAACAGCCAGTGTCTCTTTTTTGGCTGAGGTGGAGGCAGGCCTGCACGCAGCAGAGAAGTGAAGCACACAAAGCCATAACAAGTTTCATCCCTTCAATGTCACTATCCTGAACTGGCGCTTGGTTGGGCAGTCCCAAAAAAGTAGTCTGGAAATGCCATGACATGGAGATGCAGGGAAGCACAAACACTTAACTTTCAACAATGTGCGCCAGATTGTAACGCACCTTGTCACTAAGACGGCCCCGGGCGGCAACACAGGCACACATACCATAATTTCAGCACTGGGAACCAAACTATGATTACGCTTACTCTCAGCACTGTAGACGGAGTTGTAGTGTACTTCCGCCCAGAAGCTGAGCCATAACTCTGACACACGGGCGAGCAATGGAACAAAACAGATGCAGATGGGTGCATAGGGGATTGCATACATGCAGAATAAGAGTTGAAGGGATGAATGCGTTGACCCTGGTAAACGGCTTTAGTGACTTGGTTTGACTCCAAAGTCACTCCACGGTCCACCACTACAATACCCACCTTTTGTGGGTTTGCCTTGGCATGGGAAGATCTCGATGAGAAACTGGTCTCCTGGATAGGATGTGATGAGATTGATCTTTGCTCCGTACTGGTGGGGAGGGAGAGAAAGAAAGAAAGGAAAGAAAGAAAGAAAGAAAGGAAAGAAAGAAAGCGAGCACGGGCACAGTGCATGGGGATTGAGGGATGATGACATATGATGACTTGGAGCATGTGACATGGAGCGGAGCGCGAGCATTAAAGGAAAAGACAAGATAATGTATTGCCATACCGCACCACACCACACCGCACCTCACCTTGTCCGCAGCAGCCTGCAGAGTGATGTGGTCACCCCACTCGCCGTTCCTGAAAGCAACAAAGAGAGAAGAATGGAAAGTTCTCAAAACGACATCAGACTTCACTCAAAAGTTCCTGTAAGCTCAAAGGAGAAGAATAAAGCTATTCACCTGGCCATGTGCCCGAGAGGTGATAAGAAAAGCTTTCTGGCACATGCCAATGGGTGCCGAATAAGTGCTATTCAGTACCATGCAGAGTATTCACCTGGCCATGTCTCTGAGGTAGCGAGAGAAGCTGTCGCACATGAGTGCATTTGGGTGCCATTAGGTGCTATGCGGTGCGATTGGGTGCCTCTCGGTGCTATTCAGTACCATGCAGAGTATTCACCTGGCCATGTGCCTGAGGTAGCGGGAGAAGCTGTCGCACATGAGTGCATTTGGGTGCCATTAGGTGCTATGCGGTGCGATTGGGTGCCTCTCGGTGCTATTCAGTACCATGCAGAGTATTCACCTGGCCATGTGCCTGAGGTAGCGGGAGAAGCTGTCGCACATGAGTGCATTTGGGTGCCATTAGGTGCTATGCGGTGCGATTGGGTGCCTCTCGGTGCTATTCAATACCATGCAGAGTATTCACCTGGCCATGTGCCTGAGGTAGCGGGAGAAGCTGTCAGGCACATAGGGCGAGTAGCGCTCAGAATGCGCCCGCATCTGACCATGCAAACACACACACATGCGTGTGCACACAGAGAGCATGGAGCAGACAGAGAGTCTTGAGAGTTCTAGCAAGAGCCTTGCAGAGAGAAGCTGTCAGGCACATAGGGCGAGTAGCGCTCAGAATGCGCCCGCATCTGACACACGCACACGCACACACGCACACACACACGCACACACGCACACACACGCACACACGCACACATGTGCACGCAAAGAGCAGGGAGCAAACAAGTAGTTTTTGAAAGCCCTAGAAAAAGCCATGTGTAGAGAAGCTCTCTGGCACATAGGGAGAGTAGCGTTCTGAATGAGCCCGCATCTGACACGCACACACGCACAGAGGCAGAATTCGGACAAGGGTGCCAACACAGCAGTTTTTGTTTTTTGCATAATTGTGTGGCGAATGCACTCGTCGCACTTACCGTACCTCATCCATCCACACCAGCTAGTCGAATCACTCTCGCACAATCTGCGCTCTTCTCCCCATCCCCCTGTTGCACTCTTCCCCCACCCACCCGCCGCGCTCTTCTACCCAGCTCAACCATAACACCAAATCCTCTCCCCACGCACCTGCTGCACCACGGCTTGCCGCACGGCCGCATGGCGATTGCATTGTAGTGCAGCCTTTGAAACTCTTCACACCCCACCATGATCCTCACTTTCACCCATCCAACCATAACACAGAATCCTCTACCCACGCACCTGCTGCACTACTGCTTGCCGCACGGCCGCATGGCGATTGGCATTGCGAAACAGCTGATCCGCCAGAGCACGAAACTGGGGGGGAAGGAGGAGGCAAGGCGAGGCGAGGGGGGAGGATGAAGCAGGGGGAGGAGAGAGGTCGGGAGGCTAGCAGGAACTGGGAGAACAGCTGGGGTAGAAAGGAGACAGGCAGGAGGGGAGGAGATGGGGCAGCGGCAGAGAGAGAGGTGGTTTGGGTGGGTGGAACCAGTGCCGGTTATAAGCTACATCTTTCTAGGATTGCAACGAAGGCAACCGTGGTCCATGAGGCATAAGCTACATCTGGGTCGCTTTGAAGAATTCTCACAACCATGATGCGAGAAAAGTCCTAGTACAGAAGATCAGGCAGAGTAGGATGAAAGAGCTACCTGGCAATTTCCATCTCCCACCATTGGCAACTCCCTCAGCCCATAGACTGCAAGCCTGGGGGGGACGAGGGACGGGGGACGGGGGGACGAGGGACGGGGGGACAAGGGACGGGGGACGGGGGACGGGGGAACGAGGGACGGGGGGACGAGGGATGGGGACAGGAAGGAGCAGAGGACTTTTAGGAATGAGAGCAATGATTCTGAAGGCGGTTAGAATATCATCGCAGTTCCCTCAACTCAGCCCATAGACTGCAAGCCTGGGGGGACGAGGGACGAGGGCAGGAGCAGCGGAAAGGGAAGAGCATGGGAAGGAGGGCCAAGGAGAAAAGGGGGAAGAAGCAAAGGAGCAGGGAAGCAAAAGGCGGAGAAGGGAAGGGATCACAGGAACATGGTGAGAGAAAAGCTGCAAAAGCGAGCAAAAAAGGCAGTCAAGAAAAGCAGAGTAAGAGGTACATAACCAAATAGATGGTTGGTCAAGCCGGGAGTGGAATAGAGACCATCTATTGCCAAGCTGAGAGAAGGAAATGCTTGGCAAACAGGCAAACGGTCAACAGCCCAGAAAACCCAGGGCACGGGTTTGTGCGTTCTCTCAAACAGTCAACGGACCGAAGAGCCAATGGGTGTGTGCGTTCTCTCAAACCCTCCCTGCATATCCATCTCCCCCATCCTTCATACTCCCATCCTCCCATCTTCGCATACACAACTTCCCAACCTCCCCTACTCAACCCTTCTCGCTCACCTCTCTGTGAGAGTCTGGTGGCTTGACAGGCTCTCTCATGCTCCCATCTCCCATACTCCCATCTCCCATACTCCCGTCCTCCACAATCCCATCTTCCGTCTCCCCCCCATCCTCCCCTACTCAACCCTTCTCGCTCACCTCTCTGTGAGAGTCTGGTGGCTTGACAGGCTCTCTCGCAACGAGGGCAGTCGACCGCTGTTCACACGCATGCTGTGCTGCATGGGGGAGGGAGAACGGGGGGTGGGGAGGGGTGGGAGGTTGGGAGGGCGTTACACAAGTAGAGAAAAAGCTACAGAGAGCGATTGTCGAGGAACGAGGAGCGCCGTCAGCAATACTGTGCCTTGTATTACACGTACCAGCACAGCACGGAGTTGGATCGGGTGAAAAGCCTCGTAAATACCTGCCCTTTTCAGTCGACTCAAAAGTCATCTCGTCTCGAAAGAGCAGAGGATTACACGTACCAGCACAGCACGGAGTTGGACCGAGTGAAAAGCCTCGTGATTTATTTTTGTGGCGCCTCAAAAATGCATACCAGCACAGAGTTAGATTGGGTGACCTACCAGCACGGAGTTAGATCGGGTGACCTACCAGCACGGAGTTAGATCGGGTGACCTACCAGCACGGAGTTAGATCGGGTGACCTACCAGCACGGAGTTAGATCGGGTGAAAAGCCTCGTGATTGACCGCCCTGCAGTCGGAGGCTCATTGCTCCTCAAGCCAGCGTTGCCTGCTCACAGCACCGCACAGCATCACCCGGCGCCACACAGCACCACACAGCATGACACGGCACCATACACCACCGCACAGCACCAAACAGCAGCATACAGCACCGCACAGCACCACGAAGGATCGCACACAGGTGAACCATGGACTTGATAGAGAGGTGTCCGGGAGGGAGGAAGAGGTGGAAGGGGGTAATCATGCATACAAGTGGGAATAATAACTGTTCAAACAGCTGATACACGAGACATCTGAAAAAGCGAACTCACAAAGAGGTTTTCAGGAAGGGGGATGAGGGGAAGGTTGGGAGGGAGAATGGGGGGAGGGGGAAGGGGGGAGGGGGAAGGGGGGAGGGGGAAGGGGGCAAGGATGCATACGAGAGCAACGACTGTTCAAGCGCTGATACATGAGAGGACTAAAAATAACGTACTCATAAAGTGGTTTCTAAGAAGGGGGATGGTGGTGGGAGAAGGGGGAGGGGGAAGGGGGGAACGATGCATGCAATCAGAAATATTGTTCGTACAGCTAGCTTTAGGGTGAGGAAGAAGGGGAAAGGAAGGGCAGGGAGGTTGCTGCAAAGACCAAAGACAGACAGGCCTTTAAAGGAATTGACATGCTGACTCACTGAGTTCCTCTGAAGCCAGTTCCATGGCCAAAGGGGCTCTTCAGAGTTCTAAGATATGCCAGAAAAGGTTGTTGACATCATGACATCTTGACATCATGACATGCTGACTTACTGAGTTCCTCTGAAGCCAGTTCCATGGCCAAAGCCAAGTCACCATCCAGCTCCTCCTCCTGTTGTTCCGTCCCCACATCACCTTCATCGTCTTTGTACCCTTTACTAGCATCATCATTATCATAATCATTGTTGTCAAAACCATCCGCTTGCTCTGCTGCAGCATCTGCTTGCCTTCCGCTCATCCATTCCTGTCCCTGCTCCCTCGCCTGCTCCCTCCCCTGCTCCCTCCCCTGCTCCATTTCCTGCTCCCTCTCCCTATCCTTCTCCTGCTCCCTCTCCCTCCCTCTCTCTGCCATCTGCAGCACCAGCCTTCGGTTCGGCACAGGTGGGGAAGCAGCAAATAGATCAGGGGACAAAGCAGGGTCCAGGAGGCTCCTTTCCTGCTCCCTCTTCCGCTCACTCTCCTGTCCCTGCTCCCTCTCCCTCCCCTTCTCTGCCATCTGCAGAACCAGCCTTCGGTTCGGCACAGGTGGGGAAGCAGCAAATAGATCAGGGGACGGAGCAAGAGCAGGCAATGCAGTGTCTGGTGAACCTGATACAGCAGGAGAAGCACCTGCGGAATCATCAACACAGGTAACCCCAGGAGGTTTTAACACAACCCCAGGAGATTTTAGCCTAACTCCAGGAGGGTCCAACATACCCTCAGGAGACGAAACACGGGGTGACTGTATAGGGGTTGACTGTAACGAGGGGTTCACCCATGAAGCATCCTGGGGCGACACAGTAAGCGTGTTCCCCGCCCCATAGCCACCAGGAGAAGCGATGTTCCCTGCCTGGATGTGACTGTACGCGAGTGTGACTTCAGCGGGGTCTGATAACGACCTGGTGAGAGGATTGGGTCCAGGGGCAGCGCCAGGTCCAATCCACGGGCTGGATTGACTTTCAGGAGGGAGAATCGACGGTCCGGATTGAATCTGAAGGGGCGCAATGAACGGGCTTGATTGACTTTCAGGAGGTCCGAAGGATGGGCTTGAAACAATCTCAGGGAGGCCAATGGACGGGTTTGATTGACTCTCAGGAGGGCCAATCGACGGGCTTGATTGATCACTGGGGCCGGATAACACGTTTGGCTCAGCAAGCGAATGGGCCACCGCTGCCTGCCCTGCTGCTACTGCTGCCACTCCTGGTCCTTTTGCAACTGCTGCGACTGCTGCTGCTGCTGGAGCTGCTGCTGCTGCTGTGGCAGCTGCTGCTGGTGCTGCGGGATCCCTGGCTGCATCCCGCCTGTCTGGTTCCCGTGCCCGCACCACGGGAGACAGCCACCGCATGGGCGAAACCCCCCTAACTGGGGACCGGCCTTTGCCTGCCTGAAACCCCTTTGCTGGCGAAAATCCCCGTGCTGGGGAAACCCCCTTTGGTGATACCCCCCTTGGCGAAACCCCCTTTGGCGAAATCCCCTTTGATGGCGAAAGTCCCCTTGCTGGCGAATTCCCTCTTCCTTGCAGCGAATTTCCTGCCCCAGGCGAATTTCGCCGGGCAGCAGGGGACAAGCCCTTGCCAGCCCTCCCATGTCCAGGTGCATCCCTCCTGGACAGGCTCCCCGTTCCCCCTTCTCCGCGCCCAGGCAGGGTTGGGAACAGCCCGCGGAGCCAATCCTCTGCGCCTCCCAACCACGAACCCGAACCTGTGGCACCCGAACCTGCTGCTTCGGATTCGGCTTCCTTGAGAAACTCCTCCTGTAGCGCTGCTGCTATGGCGTGATCGTCGGAGTCTGCTGCAAGAGATTCGGTTTGGATCGACGGCTGAGATGCAGACTTTCCTCTGCTCTTCCCCTTCGTTTCCTTTGCAAGGTGCTCCTCCTCCTCCTGTAGCGCTGCTGCTATGGCGTGATCATCTGAGTCTGCTGCAAGAGCTCCAGGTTGGGACGATGCCTGAAATTCAGACTCTCCTCTGCTCTTCTCCTTCGTTTTTGCTGCAATGTACTTATCCTGTACCGCGGCTGCTATGGCGTGATCTTTAGAAACAGGCTCAGGAGGGACAATACGGTCTTGCTCAAGTGAAGATCTCGCTTCTGCTGCTGCATACTCCTCCTGCAGAGCAGTAGCAATCGCATGGTCGTCAATGTTAACGTCGCTGCAAGCGCTCCTATCTGACCTGTCGTTGGCAGCATCGCCATCGTTCCCATCTGGCCTCTCGTTGCGAGCAGCCGGGACTGCAGCAGTCGGGAGTCGCTGTCGGGATCCTGAAACCATGGTGACGTCAGCGGAGGGTCGTACGACTGGAATAAGTGAAGGATTCGGGTACCGTGCGGTGGAGTCCGGTTGGGAGTACGGTTCTTGACGCCAATGGATGGGAACGGCTTCAGTTGACGATCCTACGTAGAGAGGATTAAAGAATGGAGATACGGGTGCTGCTGTTTCATTTGGCAAAACTGTGTTCGCACTCCTACACCATTCCTCATAATCGTTCCGAGGTACCATCTATGCTAGTAGCGGTAACAGTTCACAAACCATGGATACGGCGCCCGACCCTACAAACGGAACTAAGCTAAGATTTTTGTCAATAACGTGAATCTCGCCAGACTAACTCGGCTGGCAACAAGCGGCAGCGGAGACACGTGGAGTCGCTATGTGTAAGGAAATGTGGGAAGCTATACTCAGTCAAGATGGCAGAAAAGTGAGGGGAAGGGAATTAGGGTGCTGTGAAAACATCATACCTCGTAACTCCACTCAACCGATTGTAATGGAGCGTTAACCGTGCTAGAACGTAAGAAACCACAGGTAATTTCATGTGATTGAGATTTTGACATGCCTTGCATCACCAGGGGTGCTTTCGGAAACGACCGTTTGCTGCCGAAGCAGACCGCTGGGACGTACGCGAAGTTCTCAAGGTTGGTTATACGAGAGGTTGCGTTGGGTTGGGTTGGTTCCGATGTGGTGGCAGGGATCACTCGCGAATTCTCTGAAGGGGCACTTGCGATTTCGCGGGTCGAAATGGCGTCACTGACACGTCAAGTGGTCCTCCCCACGGCTTCCATCAGCTCCGCCAACAAATGTCAGCCTGGTAACCGAAGCGACAGAATCTGCGCTCGTTCGACACAAAAGCTGGCTCTTCGCTGGGGCTGTCAGCTATCGCCACGCTAGCTGACGAAATTCGCTAGTCGTCAAATCCCTCCCCTCACATGCTCCGAGGTCGTAGACTGCCTGCTAGAGAAAACTGAAATCCCAGCCTACATGTAGTAGAAATTCCTGTCAGCCATACCATAGTGGAGTCCCGTGCTAGGCTAATGAATTTCCGTTAGCTAGGTTATTGTGACATCCTCTCTGGAAAGGCTTTTGTGTAGTCCGCTGGCTAGTGCGGCGCACTGGTATCTAGGCTACCGCGGAAACCCGTCTGCTGGGTTATAGCGAAATATTTCGAATTCATCTCCACTTGACAGCCTAGAGCTGTTGTTCCTCCAAGTAATGGGGCTCTGAAAGCTCCAGACCCGTGCTACAAAGTCCGTCGATTTGTTGAATTCGAGGATGCCGTCGTTTGGTCCCAGATCCAGCTCCGAAGGCAAGCTCCCTTTTCATATTCTTGTCCGTTTTGCAAATCGGTTTTCTTGTTTTTTCATATATAAACCAGGCCTGTTTTTCTGCGTTCCTGGGTTGAATATCCCTCAATACGACTTTGACACTCGTTGGCTTGTTCTGTTTGCTCTCCCTTCGTTCCTTGAGATCCCCTCTTATGACTTCATGCATCGATCTGTTTCAGTACAATTGATCGTTATATTTACCTTTGTGTGGTTTCCCTTCTCGTGCTTCGTTGGTGTGTGAACAGAGCCAGCTTCACTAGAATCTGACGTGGCACCACAGCATGCCAGTGTCAGCTCGAGTCAAATACAGTCAGATCCGGCCAAATCCGACTCAGAAGCTTTTGGAATTCCGCTGGAACCAGCTTCTGCTGCTCAAGATGCAATCGGTAATGTTTTTGTTTTTGTTTTTAATAAAATTTAGGGCATGCATGTCCAGGTTTCGTATAAAATTCATTCCATAAGCCTATCTTTCTTTCCTGAGTTTGATAGAATGTTATGATGATAGTAGCACTGAAGCCAGCTTCGATGCCTTGTCTCCTGATTGCTTTCCAGGTGCATCAGGCGAGAAGGACGGATCAGACACGCCAGCTGAGCACTTAACGCTGCCACCTGTGCTGCAGCAGCAGCAGCAGCAGCAGCAGCAGTGGCAGCAGCAACAACAACAATCACCAGGAGCAAAGCTTGACCCAATCCTTAGCTCCCAGTCGCAGCAGGAGAAACATTCTAAGCGAAAGGAACGAGAACAACGCAACATTCGTCCAAATCCTCAGTCGGTCCCTTCAGCCCTGTCGGCTTCTGCAGCCTTGTCAACCCCCGCTTCAAGCGCCAGCCAGCCTCCACCTGCGTTCCTAGATCCAACTGTTGGTGCAACCCTACGGTTTGCACTCGGCTTGTTGTCCGTGTGCGTGAATGTGTGCGTGTATGGAATGGTATGAGGGCATGGGATAATATATATTTCATGCTTATAATTGTGTGTGAATGTTGAGTCATGATGTCGAGTGTGTGTGTCGAGTCAATAGCGAGTTATCGCTAGACGCGTGTTACGCGGTCGTTTGTGTCTCGCGCGCGGTTTTTATTTTGTCGTGCGCGGTTTCTATTTTGTCCTGTGTCGAACGTTCGGCGTGTCGCATGTGTGTGCAGCAGACCCATCAAGAACTCAAGGATGAGTTTGTGATGAAGAGCCCGAGCCTTGGTGTCAAGCCTCAAGTGATTTCGAAGCTTGCCAAAAGGGTACACCTCAAGATATTGAAGATAGTTACATTACTTTGTGTAGTGTAACATTTCACTTGGTGTAGGCCCTAGTGAAGGGTAGTTTCGAGATCCTTCGTGGTTGGGGACAGTGTGGCACTGTTCCACATCACTGTACCTCGGCTCTTGGGGTTTGTAAGAGCTGGGAGTCATTCCCAACTCGTAACTCTTCCTATCTTGTGTTCTAAGACTATAGTGGTTGCCATAGTCCCGTTCGTTCAAACCGACGCTGTGTCGTCAATTCTTTATCAAATCGTGCAATCTAAATTGCTAATTGTAGAAGACGTGAAGATGCTCCAGATCCAATTTGAATCAAGTCATTTGCAGCTGTGAGCAGAACGCTATCAACGTTTGAAGCCGCTGTGCAGAAATCCGTCTGTGCTCTCTATCTTTCGTTTTAGGCACATTCAAGCCTATTGTGACTATAACAAGTGGTATCAGAGCCCCTTGGAGCAGTTTCGACAATGTCTGGACCTGAGGAAAGGGGTGGCAGAGGTCCTGGTGGCAGTGGAAAAGCTCAAGCTCAAGGCCAACCCCGTGATTCAGCCATGGCGCCCATGCAACCAAGTCTTGGCCCACCTAGGGATGAGCCTAGGGTGTTTGGGCTTGACAAGTTCAACGGTGACAACTTTGCTGAATGGTCCTTCAAGATGGAGAACATCTTTGACCACTATGACCTGCTGGAGGTGATGGAAGGAACGGAGAAGCGCCCCGAGAACGACCCGGAGAAGAGCCCGTGGGTGCGGAAGAGCGCACAAGGCTATCTCTTACTTGGGCAAGCGTTGGGGAGCAGTCAGATCCGTCACATCAAGCCATTCCAGCGTGAACCAGAGAAAGGACCAAAGGCATGGGCTGCTCTCAAGGGTGTACATGCTCCTGCAACAGCGGCGGTAGCGGTGGTGTTAGAACGGCAAATGGCGGCACTACGAATTGAAGAAGACGAAGCGGTTGAAGAAGGGGTTCAGAAATTCTTCGACTTGTTGACGCGGCTTGAGGGAGCTGATTTGAACTACAGTGAGCTCCAAAAAAAGACCAAGTTGCTGGCCTTACTCCCAGAGTCATGGTCCTCGCTCATCATCAACCTTAATCGCGACTTGCCCCGCCTCTCGCTTGAAGACGTGAAGCGAGCTATCCTTCAAGAGGATTTCCGCCGCCGTGAGTTGGCGAGTGCGGATGGCGCTGGGGCAGCGAGCATCGGCCGTGGATATGGTCGAGGAAGAGGCAGAGGACGAGGGGGAGGAAGGTTTGGTGGCAGCAACTTCGGCGGAGGCCGCAGGAGTGGCGGTTACGGCAGCGACGACAAGAGCTACGGACGCGGTCGCGGCCGATTCGACGGCGAGTGTCACTATTGCCACAAGAGCGGACACATGTGGCGCGACTGCTACAAACTCCCTGATGGTTGGACCCCTGCTCAAGGCCAAGAGGGTAGAGGAGCAGGAGGAGGGAGAGGACGAGGCCGTGGAGGCCGTGGCGGTCGCGGTGGCGGAGCTGCAAACATGAAGAGCGGAGACAACGACAAGGACCCGAGCGACGATCGATACCCGGGTCTATTCTACTTCGTGTCGACGCAAGTACCGGCTGGTCCAGAGAAGGATGAAGACTTTGAGGAGCCAGCAGCTGTGGGGAAGGTGACCCTACACCCCCTGGACTATTGGGTGATTGATAGTGGCGCTACCTATAGCATGACACCTCGCCCGGACTTGCTCACCGAACTCGAGCCGTCACCGGTGAAGCATGTCACATCGGCTTTGGGGCAGCGAGCAGAGGTGAAAGGCATGGGCAAGGCCATGTTCAAGGGTGCTGATGGGAAGATGGTGGGCCTCAAGAACGTGCTTTGGGTGCCCAGCCTTGCTGCAAACCTGATTTCCGTGCGGCGGTTGGCAAAGGCCGGCATGGACACGAACTCGAAGGGAGCCAAGACCTACACCGCAAGGCTTGGCGATCGAATTCTTTGGGACCTTCATGAGGACAGGGATGTCTACAACGAGATGTGGCAGATCCCAGTGGTCCCTATGCCTAAGGAGAGGCAAGTGGCAGCAAGCATCAGCACCAAGGATGGAGCGGTCGGTAGCGACGATGGCGCGAACGGTCGCGCTAAGGAGAATGAGCTCAAGAAGAGCAAACCTGGAGGGACCAGCAAGTTCAGTGAACCTAAGGAGAGTGGTGCAGCAACCAAGGAGCAGCAAAAGGGTGAGGAGAACCCAGAGGCAGCAGCGGAGGAGGACTACGGAGAGAGTATGTGGGGCGCTATTGCGAGCGCGGCATTCTCCAATCCAACTTCGGCTACGGGGGAGTGTGATTGGCTCACCTTGCATCGGCGCATGGGGCATGTGGCCCTGCCCATCTTGCAGCAGCTAGTGAAGAATGAGATGGTTGCTGGCATACGTGTGAAGGGGGAGCCCGATGAGGTGCTTGGCTGCCCGACGTGCATTCAAGCCAAGTTCACCCGGTTTCCGTTCCCTAGTTCGGAGGCAACGGCAAAGGCACCGCTTGATGAGGTGGTGATGGACGTGGTGGGCCCCCTGAAGCTTGGAGCTGCTGGAGCTGAGTATTTTCTCACCATTGTCGACGTCTACACCCGCATGACTTGGGTGTACGTGCTGGCCAAGAAGAGCGACGTGGCGGAAACGTTGAAGACGGATTGGTTCCCGATGGTGGAGCGGCAACAAGACCGTCTAGTCAAGTCAATCCGCACCGATCGAGGGGGAGAGTTCCTGAGCAAGGAGTTTGGGTTGTGGCTGAAGAAGAATGGTATTCGGCACTCCCTCACCATGCCATACTCCCCTGCAATGAACGGCATCGCCGAGCGAGCGAACCGCACAATCACGGAGGCGGCACGCGGGTTGCTCATTGAAGCCGGGCTACCCGACTATTTCTGGCCTGATGCGGTGCGGAGCGCGTGTGTGGCCAAGAACAGAGCCTTGACTCATGTGGGAGAAGACAAATGGGTGCCCTATGTGGAGTGGCTAGGAAGGAAGCCAAAGGTGGATATGCTTCGGGTGTTCGGGTGCATGTGCATGGCGCTCGTGCCTAAGCATCTTCGGCACAACAAGCTTGGTGCCAAGGCGGTGTGGGCCGTGCACTTGGGCATGGCTCAAAACAGCAAGGGATGGCTTCTTTGGGACCCATTCACCAAGAAGTTCTTGGTGAGCAGGGACTGCAAGTTCATGGAGAACTTCATGTACAAGGATTGGAAGGCGGAGAATGAGGCGAAGATAGGCGTGCGGTTTGGGGAGGTGAAGAGTTCCGGTTTGGAGCATGTGGAGCTGCCTTTGGAGCTGAGCAGCGGCAGCACAACCACAAGGCAATCCTCCCTTGTGAATGGGGGAGAGGAGGCCAATGATGCAGAGGAAGAAGAGGAGGAGGTGCAGCAAGTGAGCGAGCGCGCACCGTCACTCCCTTCCCGTACTACGAGTGCTCCACGGATTCGAGCCACACCGCAGCAACGCCAAGGCCTTCAAGTCCCTGCAGCTGAGGAGGAAGGAAGGGGGAAGAGGAGAGTTCAACCCCCTAATAGGCTGACCTATGATGCGCCGGGAAAGCAGGGCAAGACAGCCCTGGCCGGAGCGGCAATGATGGTCGGAGACGACGAGGAGAGTGACTACGAGGAGTGTGCCTTCGCGTTCTTCTCTCCGGTGGAGATGCCGGGAGAACCAGCAACTCTCAAGGAGGCTTTGGAGAGTAGTGATGCTGAGGAGTGGAAGAAGGCCATGGAGAGTGAGCTGAAGAGCATCGAGGAGAATGACACGTTTGAATTGGTGGAGCTACCGGAGGGGCGTACGGCGATAACGTCCAAGTGGCTCTTCAAAATCAAGTCGGATGCCGACGGCAAGATCGAGCGCTACAAGTCTAGGCTTGTAGCCAAGGGGTACCAGCAGAAGAAGAAGGTGGACTTCAAGGAGCTGTTTGCCCCTGTGGTGAAGCCGACGACGCTGCGAACCCTATTCGCGGGAGCCGCCATCAAAGGATGGGTAGTAAAGCAAATGGACATCGTAACGGCATTCCTTAACGGCATCCTTGAGGAGGAGATTTTTATGGCGCAGCCAGAGGGGTTTGATGATGGTAGTGGCAGAGTGTGGAAGCTGAAGAATGCCCTCTATGGGCTGAAGCAGGCCCCTAGGCAATGGTACATGAAGCTGCGCGAAGTGTTGGAGGGGATCGGCTTCACTCCCTCAACGGCCGATCACTCCTTGTTCATGCTTGGCGAGGGGGAGCAGAGGAGTTTCATGGTGGTTTATGTGGATGACATCCTCATTTTCTCACCCTCTTCTGACCTTGTGAAGGAGGTGATGCTGAAGCTTCAAGACAAGTTCAAGTGCAAGGCCCTTGGTGACGTGAGCTTCTACCTTGGGCTCCACATCGAACGAGATGTGGAGAAGCGGTGCATGCGGGTGCATCAACGAAAGTACCTGGAGGCATTGGCTGCCAACTTTGGGCAGAGTGAAGGCCATGTGGCTACACCCTTTCCCTCTGGGTTCAAGTGTGTGAAGGGACCAGAGGAGGAGAGCGTTGGTGAAGAGGAGAGGCGCCGATTTCACTCGTTGGTGGGCAGCCTCATGTATGCGGCGGTAAACACCCGACCGGACGTCGCGTTTGCTACCGGGCAGCTGGCTAGGGTTGTGCAATGCCCTAATGAGGAGCAGGTAGCAGCTGGAATGAGGGTGGCCAAGTATCTTGGCCAAACACCGACCGTTGGGCTGCAATACTCGGCGGCGGCACAAAGGCGCCAAAAGGGCGCGGATGGTGTTGAACCCGGGCGTTTGTTCCTCACCGCCTACTCGGATGCTTCATATGCATCAGAACCAGAGGACATGACAAGTGTGGGAGGCTTCATATGCTGTGTTGGTGGAGGCCCAACTGCTTGGGAGAGCAAGAAGCAGGTTGACCAAGCTTTGAGCTCGGTGGAGTCCGAGTACATGGCACTCTTCCGTGCCGTACGGGAGATTGTGTGGCAGCGGCGTTTGTTGGCTGAATTGGGGGAGGAGCAGCAAGGACCTACCCCACTGTACTGTGACAGCCAGGGTGCCATTGCTCTTGCTAAGAACCCTGTGTTGCATGGACTCACGAAGCACATGAGGGTGAAGTGGCATTGGACGAGGAGCATGGTAACCGCGGGTGAAGTTGAGTTGCGCTACGTGAAGACCACGGGGCAGCCGGCTGACATGATGACCAAGAGGCTGGTGGAGCAGCAGCATTGGAAGTGTTGCAAGCTGGCTGGGATGGCTCTGAACTGAGAGAGCAACATATCCTAAGGCCAACAATCCGAGGGGGAGTTTGTTGGTGCAACCCTACGGTTTGCACTCGGCTTGTTGTCCGTGTGCGTGAATGTGTGTGTGTATGGAATGGTATGAGGGCATGGGATAATATATATTTCATGCTTATAATTGTGTGTGAATGTTGAGTCATGATGTCGAGTGTGTGTGTCGAGTCAATAGCGAGTTATCGCTAGACGCGTGTTACGCGGTCGTTTGTGTCTCGCGCGCGGTTTCTATTTTGTCGTGCGCGGTTTCTATTTTGTCCTGTGTCGAACGTTCGGCGTGTCGCAGGTGTGTGCAGCAGACCCATCAAGAACTCAAGGATGAGTTTGTGATGAAGAGCCCGAGCCTTGGTGTCAAGCCTCAAGTGATTTCGAAGCTTGCCAAAAGGGTACACCTCAAGATATTGAAGATAGTTACATTACTTTGTGTAGTGTAACATTTCACTTGGTGTAGGCCCTAGTGAAGGGTAGTTTCGAGACCCTTCGTGGTTGGGGACAGTGTGGCACTGTTACACATCACTGTACCTCGGCTCTTGGGGTTTGTAGGAGCTGGGAGTCATTCCCAACTCGTAACTCTTCCTATCTTGTGTTCTAAGACTATAGTGGTTGCCATAGTCCCGTTCGTTCAAACCGACGCTGTGTCGTCAATTCTTTATCAAATCGTGCAATCTAAATTGCTAATTGTAGACGACGTCAAGACGCTCCAGATCCAATTTGAATCAAGTCATTTGCAGCTGTGACCAGAACGCTATCAACGTTTGAAGCCGCTGTGCAGAAATCCGTCTGTGCTCTCTATCTTTCGTTTTAGGCACATTCAAGCATATTGTGACTATAACACCAACCGTTAGTCCCGGCGCACCTGCTCAGCCTACTGCGAATATCCAATCAGCTGCAAATGCTCAACCTTCAAATATCGAGCCGCTGAATTTTGGACCAGCTAATAACGAGTCAGCCAGTATCGAGTCAGGAGTGCCTTTGGTGGTGATGGACGACAGTGGGGGAAGACTGGAGCTTTGGGGGGTGGGATCAGAGGGGTCGTCCTCAGGAGCCCGTGTGTCTCGTGTTGTGGCGAATCTGTCTCGGGTGTACCGCTTTGCTGTTGAACGGAGCATGTGGCAGATGGCTCAGCTGCAGCCGTATCAGCAGCCGCTAGTGCCGCAGCAGCAGCAGCAGCAGCAGCAGCAGCAGCAACAGCAGCGTCAAGCTCAGCAGAAGCACGGCAAGGATGGGAGTGGGCAGAAGACGGTTGGGGGTGGGAGCGCGGCTAGTGCAGGAGGGAGCCGTGAGACCGGCGAAGTTCCAAGCCATGCTGCGAGGCAGGTTACCAGCTCTGGCGAAGAGGAGGGCAGCTGGGAGGATGTGGTGGCTGGCGAGGCAGCAGAAACTGCAGGCAATCTGGAGTCGGCGCTTCTTGACTTGTCAGAGTCCCTGTTGCTCTTCCTGCCTCGGACTGAGGGGATTGGAGGGACTGGGGGGATTGGAGAATCTGGGGGGAGTGGAGGGATTGGAGGGCCTGGAGAGATTGGCGGGGCTGCTGCAGGAGTGGGTCTAGCAGGAGAGGGTGTGCCTGCAATGGAAACAGCTGGGGGAGTGGCTTTAGTAGTCCCTGCAGGTGCAGCTGGTCCACCAGCAGCAGCAGCTTCAGGTCAGCAGCACGGGCGTTTTGAGTCGAGTCAGAAGACGTCTGCTGGTGCAGGTTCAGCTCCGCACCTGCCTGTGCCTGCTGCTGCGTCTTCGCCTTCTCCCCCGCTTCCTCCTCCGCCGCTGGCCTCTCTGCACTCGTCTCACGCTCTGGAGCCTGAGTTTCTGAAGCAAGAGGGTGACGGCTCTCCTGCTCCTCCTGCTCCTCCCCCTCCCTATCACCCTCCCCCTCCTCATCACCCTCCCCCTCCCCGTCACCCTCCCCCTCCTCATCACCCTCCCCCTCCTCATCACCCTCCACCTCCTCATCACCCTCCCCCTCCCCATCACCCTCCCCCTCCCCATCACCCTCCCCCTCCCCATCACCCTCCCCCTCCTCACCACCCTCCTCCTCCTCACCACCCTCCCCCGCATCACCCTCCCCCTCCTCACCACCCTCCTCCTCAACACCCTCCCCCGCATCACCCTTCCCCTCCGCATTACCCTCCTCCCCCCCACCACCCAGACCCTCACCACCCTCCAACGCATCAACCCCCTCCTCACCAACCTCCCCCACACCATCCTCCTCCTCACGACCCCCCCTCTCCTCACCCTCTCGTCCCCCCCCCTCACCACCCTCACCCTTCTTACGACCCCTTTCCCCACCACCACCCTTATCAACATCATTACTTCTCCCCTCCATCTTTCCACCACTACGCTCCTCCTCCTACTCCTCCTCCTCCTCCTCCTCCTCCTCCTCCTCCTCCTCCTCCTCCTCCTCCTCCTCCTCTTCCTCCTCTTCCTCCTCCTCCTCCTCCTCCTCCTCCTCCTCCTCCTCCTCCTCCTCCTCCTCCTCCGCCTCCTCTTCACGCCTATCCTCCCCCATTTCCGGATGCTGTAGCGTCCACCTGTTCCCCTCCGCATGCTCATTCCCCCCCGCCTGCACTTTCCTGTAAGCCTTTCCAGAATCCACCATCCTCTGGTGACCTCTTTCCAAAGGCTGCCCAACCGGTTAAGGCCAACGAGGGGGGAGGTGGGCCTGAAGTGATTTTTGAGGCGCCTCAAATAGCACCCCTACCTGATGACCTTTCTTCAAGTGCCTTTCAACCAGTCGCGGCAAACGAGCGGGAGGGTAGCATTGGGGAGAAGCAGGGTGAGAGGGGGGAGAGGGAGGAGATGGGGGAGAGTGGGGAGGGGGAGAAGAAGGAGAGGGGGGAGAAGGGGGGGTTAAAGGAGAGGGAGGGGAGGGGGGTGAGAGAGGAGAGGGAGGAGAGGAAGGAGAGGGAGGAGAAGGAGGAGACGGGGGAGAGGGCAGCGATGAAAGAGGAGGAAGAAAGGGAAGAGACAGAGGAAAGAGATGAGGGAGAGGACAGGGAGGAAAGGAGGGAGAGGGATTCTGAAACGAGCGAAGGAGCTGGGAGGCTAACAGGAGAGGTGGGGAGTGGCGAATGGGAATGCATCTCTAGGGGCGATTCTTGAGAAGAGCGGCTTCTTGAGAAGAGTGGCTTCTTGAGAAGAGTGGCTTCTTGAGAAGAGTGGCGTATTCTTGACTCGTCAAGACACCTCATTGCAAGAGTCCTGGTGAGTGGAATGTAAGCCTGGAAGCAGTTTCTGAGGTTCATCGAAAATCACGAGGCTACCCGCCGTCAAAAACTGTTTCTAGACCCCTGGAGGCGGATCTGGCTCAGGGGGGACTCAGGAGGAGCGTGAAGGCTGGTTTCGATCCAATTTGACACGATCTTGTTGGACAGAGCACGGGAGGAGCGTGGAGGCAGGGATTCTACTGATTCTGAAGCCCGGTTCTGGTTCAGGTGGAAGGGAGTAGGAGCATGCAGGGGAGTAGAGAAGAGGCAGTTCCGTTTCAAGAACCCAGTTTTGGCTCGGGTAGAGAAGAAGTGACTCAGAGAGTAGAGGCAGGCAATGAGGGGGGAGGAGGGGACAGGTAAGCATGGTGAAGAGGGTAAGGGTATGGTGATGGGGGTGATGAGAGGGGAAGACAGAGGCAAATAAGGATGAGGGAGGGTGCTTACACGAGACCAACGAGGGGAGCACGCATGGTGAGAAGATCATGCGTGGTGAGGGGAGCACGCATGGTGAGGGGAGCACGCATGGTGAGGGGAGCACGCATGGTGAGGGGAGCACGCGTGGTGAGGGGAGCACGCATGGTGAGGGGAGCACGTGTGGTGAGGGGAGCACGCATGGTGAGGGGAGCACGCATGGTGAGAAGAGCACGCATGGTGAGGGGAGCACGCATGGTGAGGGGAGCACGCATGGTGAGGGGAGCACGCATGGTGAGAAGAGCACGCATGGTGAGGGGAGCACACATGGTGAGGGGAGCACGCATGGTGAGGGGAGCACGCATGGTGAGAAGAGCACGCATGGTGAGGGGAGCACGCATGGTGAGAGGAGCACGCATGGTGAGAGGAGCACGCATGGTGAGAGGAGCACGCATGGTGAGAGGAGCACGCATGGTGAGAGGAGCACGCATGGTGAGAGGAGCACGCATGGTGAGAAGAGCACGCATGGTGAGAAGAGCACGCATGGTGAGGGGAGCACGCATGGTGAGGGGAGCACGCATGGTGAGAAGAGCACGCATGGTGAGGGGAGCATGCATGGTGAGAGGAGCACGCATGGTGAGAGGAGCACGCATGGTGAGAGGAGCACGCATGGTGAGAGGAGCACGCATGGTGAGAGCAGCACGCATGGTGAGAGGAGCACGCATGGTGAGAGGAGCACGCATGGTGAGAGGAGCACGCATGGTGAGAGGAGCACGCATGGTGAGAAGAGCACGCATGGTGAGAAGAGCACGCATGGTGAGAAGAGCACGCATGGTGAGAAGAGCACGCATGGTGAGAAGAGCACGCATGGTGAGAGGAGCACGCATGGTGAGAAGAGCACGCATGGTGAGAGGAGCACGCATGGTGAGAAGAGCACGCATGGTGAGAAGAGCACGCATGGTGAGAAGAGCACGCATGGTGAGAAGAGCACGCATGGTGAGAAGAGCACGCATGGTGAGAAGAGCACGCATGGTGAGAAGAGCACGCATGGTGAGAAGAGCACGCATGGTGAGGGGAGCACGCATGGTGAGAAGAGCATACATGGTGAGAGGAGCACGCATGGTGAGAAGAGCACGCATGGTGAGGGGAGCACGCGTGGTGAGGGGAGCACGCATGGTGAGGGGAGCACGCGTGGTGAGGGGAGCATGCATGGTGAGGGGAGCACGCGTGGTGAGGAGGGGAATTGCAATGAAGTCCAGGGGTCTAAGACGCAGCAACAGCATGAGGCTGGGACAACTGGTTCAAGCCACGACGATGAGCAGCAGGGAAGTGGGCAGCAGGGGAGTGAGCAGCAGGGGATGAGCAGCAGGGGGGTTGAGGGCATTGTGGGTGAGCTGGAGAGATTGGATTCGTGGGTGAAAGACAATTGACAAGTCAGTGTAAATATTTGCTGGTGTTGGACAGGTTAAGGCCTTGCTTGTAGCTGCTCTTGTAAATAGCACTGTCTTGTAAGAATGGTTATGGGATTTGCTGCAAAGGCTTTGTTCTCAAGCACGTACAGGCCCTCAGATATCACCGTGAAACACGCTGATTACACAGATTTTGTAGCTCTGATTTTCGTTTTCCCTGAAAAATCAGTACATGCTTCTATTTTGCACTGTAATTTCAGTATTTGTGATTTTGCCACACTGACCATTTTACGTGTTTCTGAACAAGTAACACTGACAAATCAGTATACTTCAGTGAGTCAAACTGAAACGGACTTGACCGCGTGGGGGGGGGGGGGGGGGTGGTGGAGTACGCGACGCGTGTACAGACTGTACCTTCCCGTGATTCACGAAACCCCACCCCACCCACACACTTGGAATCTTTTCACATGCGCTGTACTTACAGCTTGTGCGCTCCGAACCGTTTTGCCTCGCTGGAAGCCATCACACCAGAGAACGGTTAGCCTAATACACAACTGCCCAATGAGAACACAGACAACACACCACTGGTGGCAGGGTCCACGCCAACACGCCATAAATTATGGCAGTGGGGTGGGGGTGTTGTCATCTTGCCTGGAAAGACGGAAACCCTGGACCAAGATCCCTCGCCATGGCGGCTCGGGAGAGGGGGTACCCCCATCTGCTCCCTCATTCTGTTCCTGCACTACTCGTGAACCCCTGTAGGAAGTGACGTTCGAGCTCAAGCAGGAGTAGCTTCTCCCTCAAGCTCGGCACGCTCAGCAGAGCTGAGCAGCCATGGCGGAGTCGACGCCCGCAAGTGACGGCCCTGAATCCGTCGCAGCCACGAAGCCACCCGCCCTTACTGGCCTAGACTTCTTACGACGAGCTTCAGCTGCTCCCGCGTTAGTCCCGCCATCAGCTCGTACCGTTGTTTTCCCTTCCTCGGGCCCACCATCTGGATGCAGGGCGAGTGTTCGACGCATGTCGGCGCTGCCGCATCACCTCCTATCGCTGCCGCGTCAACTCCTGTCGCTGCAGCATCAACTCCTGCCGCTGCCGCATCAACTCCTTACGCTGTCAGATCAACTCCTGTCGCTGCCGGAACTACTCGCGTCGGCCCCCGTCTCAAAAGGGGTATCAAATTGAGGTACCTCCAGACAAAGATCTAGTGGGGTGCCAGTCAAGCTACTCCAACGTCTGGTGTGGGGAACTCCTCCCCGAAGGCCCGACAGCGTAAAGGGAAGGGGAAAGTGGTTGAGGTTACTTCCGATACAGAACTGCCCGACATAGCCGAGGAGAAATACCAGGAAGCCTTATCTATGTACAACAAACAGTGGTCTGACGACTACCCGTGGCTTGTTCTGTGTCAGACGAGTGCAGGGTTCCCGTCAATGAAGTGCTCAGTCTGCATTGCGCACGCCGGTGTGGGCACGAACTTCGGCGCCAAAGGAGAAGGGGCGACCGATGTGTAGACCCAGGCAATGCGGAAGCATCAGCGCACAAGGAAGCACCGCCGCGCTCTACGCAGACAGAGGATAGCCGAGGCGGCGCTCAAAGCTAACCGCCGGATTGACGACAACCCGAAGGTGAAAGTCGTGGAGAAGGAGCGACTGATCGTGCGCTTTGAGACGGCACTCTTCATCGCTAAGTCCGACGCCTCGATCGAGATGTACGTGGACCTCGTCCGACATCTGGCGCAGCGTGGCACACCGGGCTTCCCAAAGAGCAGTTATGGTGCCTACTACACGACGTAAGTGAAACTGGTCTAGTACATATCGGTGCAGATTGTGAACTACGTGAAGCAATCACTAACCACATGCGTTGATGCCCGTGCAGGTACGGATTCGAAGAGATTACCGCCGCAATGGCAACATACCTTCGTGCGCGCCAGAGAGAGTACATTGACTCGAGTCCATTCATTGGTCTGAGCTGCGTCGAGAGTACGGACCGCGTCAAAGGGAAGCACATGATTGTGTTTGTAACATTTCTGCGTGAGCACGCCGTCGTCACAGAGTTTCTGACTAACCTCTCCATTGAGAAGTGTGATGCAGCATCCCTTCATGCTAAGCTCACAGGATACCTTGGCAGCATCAGTCTGCCGCTGGAGAAGGTGGCGGGTATCAGCACCGATGGGGCTCCTGTGATGATAGGCAACGACACTTGCCTCGTTGGGCGTCTTCGACTGGAGATACCGCACGTGGTGGCCTCTCACTGCATCGCACACAGGTAAAATGATGCTATGTTGGTGTCGTTGCTGTTTGATATGTGGAACGTGGTATGTTGCTGTGCGAGTTCTAACCCCTCGTCTGTGCTATTGTCCCCGTGGTAGGGAAGCGCTAGCTGCAAAGGAGGCGGCTAAGGCACTACCAGAGCTTGGCATAATCGACGCAGTTATTCGCTCAATGGCAGAAGATCTCGGCAGATCCAGCAACTCCAATCTCAAGTTCAAGGAGCTGCAAGAAGTGTTCACTCATACCAACCTCGAGGTCCAAGGGATCCATTCGGTCCGCTGGTTGAGTCGCGGCGACGCAATCGCACGATTCGTCCACGTTCTGCCTGCTGTCATCGTTATGCTCGAGGAGACTGACGCGACGATGTACCTCCTGGTGACATCGTTCAAGTTTCATTACTTCCTGTTCTTCTTGGCAGATGCGCACACGGCACTCAACGCACTCAACCTGCTATTCCAGAAGCGTCATGTGAGTTGTTGAGCTACGTTTTGCAGTTCTCTTCTTCTCCTAGTTACTTATATTTTGTTTCCATGTACCCTTTCTCCCCCTACCAACAGGTTGACCTCACTGCAGTGCACTCCCAGGTGAGGCGGACCATCATCTACATCGAGCAGAGGTACGTGAACTCTGGCCAGCAGTTTGGCGGTGGGACCAGCGAGTTGCTGTCTGCATTCCTCGCGCGGCACGCCTCGCCCGACTGCCGTGAAGTGACTGTGGAGGGGGTGGACAAGGAGGGTCAGTCCCGGGTACACAAGTTTCAGCTGCACGAGGAAGCAGTGAAGGGATACACCACCAGCAGCGGGGACATGCAAGGATGTTACACCTGCTGCCGCTCATTCGCCCGCGAGCTGGTGTACAACCTCGAGCTGCACTTGGGGGACCTGACGTGCTTGAACGGGGCGAAGCTCTTGTCAAACATTCATGCTATAGTCTTTCTAGGCTGTAGTGGGGTAGACAGTATGGGGTACAGTTTCCTAGGGTTGAATATTTGTACCCAACTCATTTCCTAGTCAATCATTCCTTGTTCTTATTCTCACATGGTATTAGAGCAGAATCATTCCTAGGGCCCACCGAACGTTCCGCCCTGCCCTAACTGAAATATTTTTTTTTTAGCTGCCCCTGCAGCCGCGCTGCCCTTGCAGCCCGCGTGCTCCCCCCTGCGACCGTGCTGCCCCTGCAGCCGTGCCTGCCCGTGCAGCCGTGCCTGCCCCTGCAGCCCGTGGGCGCTGCCTCTGCATCAGTGCCTGCCCCTGCAGCCCGTGGGTGCTGCCCCTGCAGCCAGCGCGCTGCCCTGCCGAGCCGCGTGTCGCCCGTGGGCGCTGCCTCTGCCCTGCCGAGCCGCGTGACGCCCGTGGGCGCTGCCTCTGCGACCCTCGTGTCGCCCCCCCGCTGCCCCGTCGCGCTGCCCTGGTAAGCCGCGCGCGACCCCCCGCTGCCACGTCGCGTCGCCCTGGGGAGCCGCGCTCGGCCCCCCCCCGCTGCCCCGTCGCGACGCCCTGGGGAGCCGCGCTCGGCCCCTGCTGCCTCGTCGCGACGCCCTGGGGAGCCGCGCTCGGCCCCCGCTGCCCCGTCGCGGCGCCCTAGGGAGCCGCGCGCGACCCCCCGCTGCCCCGTCGCGACGCCCTGGGGAGCCGCGCGCGGCCCCCTCGCTGCTCCGTCACGGCGCCCTGGGGAACCGCGCTCCGTCCCCCTCGCTGCAGCCCGCGAGCCGCCTCTGCAGCGCCGAGTGCGACCTGCCAAACCCTAAAATAAATAATTAATTAATTAAAAAAAAAAAAGAGGAGCCCTAGGTGTTGCTGCCCTAGGTGCTACTGCTGCTACTGCTGCTACTGGCGGCCGCCCCTGCCCCGCCCTGCAGCAGCTGCCGTTGGGGCCCCTGCCCCGCCTTGCAGCAGCTGACATCGCGGCTCTTTCCCGCCCTGCAGCAGCTGCCGTTGGGGCCCCTGCCCCGCCCTGCAGCAGCTGCCGTCGCGGCCCTGCCCCGCCCTGCAGCAGCTGCCGTCGCGGCCCGGCCCCGCCCTGCAGCAGCTGCCGCGGAGCTCCCTGCCGCGGTCGCGGCCCCGCCCTTCAGCAGCTACCGCGGAGCCCTCGCCTTGCAGTGGTAGCGGCCTCGCCGTTGCCGCCGTCGTACGCCTGCCCTTCTCGCCATTGGTGAGCACTGCCCTGCCCGTACTGCTGTCACTGCTGCTCCTGCTGCTACTGCCTTTTCTACAGCTACTGCTGCTCCTAGCGTGGCCAGATGCAGCTCCAGCGCCGTCCGCGTGAGTCCCTCACGCCCCAGCAGCTTCGTGAGTGGTACGCTAGCTGGGTTTGTAGGGGTGGCCGCGCTGCTACTACTGCTACTGCTGCTACTGCTGCTACTACTGCTACTACTGCTACTACTGCTACTACTGCTACTGCTGCTACTCCGGCTACTACTGCTACTGCTGCTACTGCTGCTACTGCGGCTACTACTGCCACTGCTGCTCCTGGCGGTGGCCAGATGCAGCTCCAGCGACGTCCGCGTGAGTCCCTCACGCCCCAGCAGCTTCGTGAGTGGTACGCTAGTTGGGGTTGTCGGGGTGGCCGTAGTGGGAGTCGTCCTGGAGTGAGTAGTTCGGGAGC